GAGCTACTTCCGCCGGGTCTTCTCTCTCCGAAAACTGGCTAACCACTGGATTTGATCTTCGTGGCAGTTTTGCCCCATGGCAAAAACCAGGAAGTTCCAGAATATTCTTTATTGGATTTTTGATTGGGAAATAGTCGCGAGGACGGTCGTTGAATGGTGTTGAAATTTCTGGGAGCGATGCACTGCGTGGTGATGCAGCATTCGTTCGATGCTGAAGGCACATACCTTTGCTCGTTTAATATTAGAATTTTTGTTTTGTTTTGGAAATAAACTTTTGGATATAACATGATTGTTATTGTTCGTTGAGTTTTGGCAACTTTGTGTATGCTATTGTGACCAGGTGAAATAAGCCCCCACACGATATTTCCCCCTAAATATTTCCCGCCACCGTTGGTCACCGTAAATTCCCCCGATATTCCCTTCCCGCACCTCAACCCGAAGCAGACCCAGAGAGCAGTAGAACCGGAGACGGACTGCTCCGAAGACAGAGCCCGAACATCCCCAGATGTCCCATTGAATGAAGAATACAGTTGTCCAAGAGAAAGGGAAGGAGGAATGATAGAGGGAAGGATGACACATCTTCCCGGTGTCACAATATATGAAGTCACCCGCACCACCTGACGATAAGAGGTGAATAGAATGGACGAAAGTAGCCGAAGAACGGCGAAAGAGGTCCGGAGAGAACAAGAGACTACAATCGTCCCGACAGTCCCCGGTGTCAGCACGTGATCGTGCGTTATTCATTAAAAAGTAGTGATTAATAAGTCCCTGTAAATATCCCGGTCGGAGCGAGCGGCTCCGAATCAAGACTTGGAAGTTGTAGCCTGGAGATTGGCCGTGCCCAGGAGCTCTGAGAAGGAACGGAGGCTCCAGTTAATTGATTGTTTCCGTGGAAGATCTGACCAGTGCGCCAATGTTTGTGACGGCGCTATACAACGTGAACCTCAAAACTTAAAATATAAACAGTAGACTTATCCATAACTCGATGCGAAACTCAAAACAGCCGGAGTATTGTCACCCTCGGCCTCTGCTCTTCGATGTCCCCATGAAAATCCTCGAAAACCGAATAAATAAAGAAAAACGGAAAAACGGGAAAATGTTGTCGGGCGCCAGCTGACTTCTATTCCAGCGGTGTCAACAAACCGCATTAAAGAGAACCATGCGAAAAACTTTGCCATAATCGGGGAAACCAAGGGAGAGGTTGCGGAATTAGCTCGACTAGCTCGAAGGTATTCGGAGAACGGGGTAGGATCGGTCGCTCGGTCTTAGGAAAGATATCGCGAATTCAACAAAATGCACCGAAAAATCAAAAGGAAGAATCAGAGAATTAATTAAATGGGAAATGAGAGAATTACTTTAAAGTTACTCCGGAATTTATTCAATTTCTCGATAATATTTCAACTCAGGTGGAATTTCTATTCTTCACAAATAAAATACATCAATTTCGATTAACTTCAACCAAATTAAATTCAATTAAATCCCCGAGAGTGAGAGTAGGTGAATTGACCTTGAGAGAGAGGTTATCGCGAAGGGAAATGGGGGATCCGAAGAATTCAAGCCAACGATCTCTCCGCATCGTCCAGAGACTGGAGTGCTGGAGGATCCGAAGGCTATATTAATTCCGATGCGATGATCTCGGCGAATCTCCTCAGAATAATAAATGACAATTAATGGGCGAGGGACTCCAATATGCAAATGTCACTTAAGAGTGCCATTTTGCCCCATATTCGAGTCCGTCCTCCATCAAGAGCGTCGTGGCGTCACAGGAAAATCCCTGGAGCTCTCGAGCTTCAATGTCGTAATTTTCGGGGTCTCGTCTTCCAAGAAACCTTAAATTAATAAATTCAGACCTTGGGAGAGCTTTACTGAGCTAGAAGAATACTCATTTCAGGCTTCAATTCGCTCAGGGAAGAGAATAAACCGCCATGTGCACGACAGCGTCACCCACGGCACATGAGGAGCGTGTGTGCACTTGTAGGCCTGTTTTATCCACTTTTTCCCACTAAAATTGGCACTGGACATTCCCCATACTTTCTCGAGAGTTCTAGTAAACTAATTATGCACTTAGAAGGTGCAGTAAGTGTTCAAAAAATCTCTTGGTGAACGGAGAGGGCACAATGGCGCCATGGCAGGGCATGGACCATGTGCGCCCTTTTATTGGGTCTCACTGTCCGTTGTCACTATCACTGGAAAGTCACTGGGGTTTTTATCACTGGGGAGAGGTCTAGGAAGCCGAACGAGGGTTTTATGCACTCACTGGTACATTTTTCCTCTCGCTCGGGGGAGTTTTGGTGGTTCGGAATGCATCTCGGTGGCATTCTTGTGACCGCCGGTGCACTTTTGCCGGAGGTTATCACTGGGCACACTGGGAATAAATGCACTTCTCTCCTCGGGAGAGAGTGCACATGGTGAATAAAAATGTACTTACCATATTCCTCGTGTGGGTCCTCAGCGATGGTCTCCACCAACTCTCTCAATCGTTGCAGATGTTCTCGGGGATGTCGTTGCAGATGTTCTCGGGGATGTCGTCGCAGTGGCTGCTCGGGTCCAACTCTCTCGTAAACTGCGTTTAACTGGCGGATGTTCTCAGCTGGGTGGCGCGACTGGCACGCCGTCTAGCTGCCGCTGCGGCAGGCTCATGTAAACGAGCACGCGGGGATTTTGATTCGAATGGGTTTTAGACTTATTTAGACATTTCGCCGTGAATTATATTTTTTTATGAATTAACCCAAGGGGTTTTTATCCACAATGACTGAACGATAGGTATCTGGAGGTTCGGAAAGGGGGAATTAAGGCAGTTGTTCTCCTTTTCCTCCCGCGAATGCACTCNGGATGTTCTCAGCTGGGTGGCGCGACTGGCACGCCGTCTAGCTGCCGCTGCGGCAGGCTCATGTAAACGAGCACGCGGGGATTTTGATTCGAATGGGTTTTAGACTTATTTAGACATTTCGCCGTGAATTATATTTTTTTATGAATTAACCCAAGGGGTTTTTATCCACAATGACTGAACGATAGGTATCTGGAGGTTCGGAAAGGGGGAATTAAGGCAGTTGTTCTCCTTTTCCTCCCGCGAATGCACTCCACACCTGAGTGAGTGCACTTTTTCGCTGCTGTCACTCTCCCGGGAGTCATCCTGGAGTCACCGTGAACGAATCTAAAGAGAGAATAGTCCATGGCGATCTATACAGACGAGTGGGCTATGTTCATCCACATGGCCTTCCAGCTGCACTGGTGAATCCAATAACTCCACGAAGCGCCTTAGCCAGGGAGCGTGAGTGTTTCACCTCAACCTCTGTGATCAGCAGCCTGCACTCAACGAGATCAGCGAGATCTCACTGGGAAGCTCGGTGTATCGGCTCTGAACCGCGGTGGATCGTCGTCCCTCTCAGGATCCGCGAGATTTCAAAATACAAAAATGTAACTAGGAAAATACAATTACTGTACATTTTCCCTCAACCGTAAAACCGAAAATTTATCTCCTAAAATCCGAAATAAACCAGAAAGATAACTGAAACTAAAAGAGAACAAAAACTATAATATGACTTGAACCGGAGATTTTACTTTTTACTCGTTTTTAATGTGTATCGACACGTGAATTTAATTATTTATTGAAATCAACGTTGTTTTCCCCGCGAGGCCCTTCCTGATGTTCTTGGAGACCGGTTTCTACGAGCTGGAGCTAAAAGGGGTGTTGCATCGCCCTTCGGTAGGGGTGCTAACTTTTTGGGGTTAAAGGAATCGCGACTCTCTCTCGGAAAAGATCAAAATAATTTCACACTTACCTACTTACTCTTACGGTTTACTTAATTCTACGACGAAGTTGTGTACAGGTGGCGGAATTCTCGAAAATTCCGTCACATGTTCTTCAATAGTGTTTGGCAGTTGCCGTTAGTACCAGATACCCATCCCCTTTCTCGGTTATAATTTCCCTAAATCTTTTTCTCAGCGGTGAGCGCACATTTTAGCCCTTATTAATTGATAAGTGATTTCAGAGAACAGTGTATTAAGTTGATTGGTTGTTTTCCCCCCCTAGACACGACTAGCTTCTCCCCTTTTGCATATTATTTAGGGTCATTCCCTTCTTCGCATATACACAAGTAGCCTAGCCTTACCGATCCCCTAGATCAGAAGAAAAAGGCAATTGAGAGGTTTTGTAAAGAATAGTGTATCTGAGAGAATTCAGAATATATTGGATAATAGGGTGATTATAATTAGAATCATTGTCACATTGATTGGTTTACCCTAATTGCTCATTTCAGGTCCCAATATTAGTTTAAGTTAATTGCCCAATGTAAAAAAACCCAGTCCAAGGTAATTATATCTCTTTTCTATTTTAATATAGTTAACCAAATCCCGGTTACACTATACATTGATTGTTTCTGGATGTCTTATCATAAAATTTACTATTATATAAAAATTTTGATTTAATTGAAACGAGGAGTGAAATTTAATTTCAAACTGGATTTGGATAATTATTACGCGCAGAAATGAAGGTCAATGCTATGGATGTCATTCAATTAATTCTGACAACATTTCAAGTCATGGATATCCCTGAATCATCAATAAATAATGGAGAAATTCAATTGAGAAATGCCATTGAGGGTGTTTTATAGCATGCGGGAATGAGTATTCTGGCGTTTTGGCTCGTCTCGTACGCAGCCCTAATTATCTTGATGCATCGCATCTCGAAGGTACTCTCGGCAATAACAGAAAAAGTTACAAGCTCTTTACCATAAGTGAACAATTTTAAAGCGACATTGTAGATGCGATAGTTATCTCATTCCCCCACTGAATAAGTGAGAAAATAGTCATTGACACGTATTACGTATTTCCTTCACAACGATAAAAACGGTGTTTTCCTTATGAAAATAAAATCTCACTTATAATATCCAAAACATCCACAAATACTCCTTAATAAAAAAAATACACACAATCAGAATCCAGAAAAAATCGAAAATTCGACTGAAAATACATTTCAGCTAAACAAAGAGAAGGATTCTTTACGCACCTGCACCCCTGTCGCTGGTATAAATAACTGTTGTTGCGGCTTGTCGCGCAGAGTAAGGACTAGGTCTCGCCTCAGTCAATGGGTCGTAATCAGCAATTCTTCCGGGTGTTCTCTGTATAGGGCTGGCCGTTCTTGCCGGCACTGTATTTGCATTAACGCTAGTTGCCGGGGCTAGTGTTTCATCTGTGTATTCTACGTACTCTATGGCAACAATAGTGATAAAGCTCCTCAGAGGGAAGATTGATGAAGAAAGAGCAGATAAATTACGCGCAAATATATAAAAATCAATAAATATTCCCATTTCGGCGAAAGAATTACCTATTTGTTCACCGTTTTCACCTGTCATCGTTCTCTTCTGCTCCATAATCGCCTTTTTCTGAAGCTCACCATGGTATGCAACATTTGAAATGATTTTGCTATTCTGTTTGATCCTCAGGGTCTCGGGATCGTCTGCCACTTGAGTAAATTTCCCCTTTGCTTTCTCGAATTCCGCATGGTATTTCACATTACTTTGGATTTTTGTGTTCTCTGCTATGCGCTTTAGCTCAGGTGTCTCTGCCATGGTAGTTGCTTTCGCTTTTGGTATGTGCCTGAAAGTCATAAATGAGGCACATCGGTTATTTCAGAATTGGGTAGATACATCACTGCACAAGAGTAAAGTACTTGAAACCAGGGACTGGAAACGCGTTTCCGTTTTCGTTGTGTTTCTGACCTCGGAAACTAAACGAAATAATACCGTTATTGCGGGAAACGAAACTGGAAACAAAAGTCGAATAACGTTTTTGCCGGAAACAAAACTGGAAACGAAAGTTGAATAACATTATTGCCGGAAACGAAACCGGAAACGCAAGTTAAATAACGTTATTATGGGAAATGAAACTGGAAACGAAAGTTCAATCACATGAAAACAAGTAGGAAATTGCTCTTGTATTGCATACAGGTGTAGGGTAAATGATTTTATCGGTAGAAGAGAAAAGGTTATCCATTGGGAATAAGGCAAATTTAAGAAAAAAGAAATATGAATGAGGAATTAAATCCCATCTAAATATGTACATGATTTATGACTGAAGGGTCCGAGCAATCGAATGTACGACACCTCGCTCTCTTTCCTTCTGACCGGCGCCAAGACAACATCTCTCAGTATACTTAAATCCATTGGGATCCCAAAAATCTTCAAGTCGCACAAGTACACGTGCAAATTGTGGTTAATTGTACATGTTGAACTGCAGTCAACACGTGTGAGATAAGTACAAACGTTTTATACCATTTACATTGTTGGATTTTTACTGAGTTTGATGGTGGTGGAGGAATGAGGCAAATCCTTCTCGATATATTTTTTCTACTGTCGAGATCCTATAATTCGATTGGCCAGTTTGAAATTTCTCGTATTCATTATTTCTTGGGATCATTTGTTGGGAGATTGATGAGAAATTAAATTTTTCAATTGTATTGAGTCATTATTACGATAACAATTAATGTGTTGAGGAATGGGTTATGCGTGATGAATAAATAATTCAAAAGAACATTTTCTGATATTTGTGATGTAAAGAAAGTTTACGAGGACTAATTTGGATAATTTATAAGACTTGACGATTATCTTACAATTTTCTCATGAAATCATGTTGTTGACGAATCCAAGTGACTAAAGCAATAAATAATGTTAAATAACATCGTATTAGAAATACTAGTGTCGATTGTGGTTCATTTATCAATCCTCTTAATTTATTATTTATTTGAAAATATTAAGTACACGGAAATTCTACTTCTGAGGATCTTTATTGGTTCTTTGTTTCTTCTTCTCGTTATACATTTATTGATTCTTGTTCAATCGCTGTTATTAGCTTTCTGGTGAGTTTATCATTTCTTACACTCAACAAAATATCTTCCATTAAATTCGTCTGAACATCTACATCAAACAAATTTCATTATATATTCTGGCGCCCGACAGTAGGCACGATACACGAAATAGCCGTGTCTTGTTTATATGAATACTCGCTCGCGTTCAAGATCAGTAACAGGCAATAGCCTTGACGAAATAACGACCATAAACAAACCCGAGAAAATCGATTCGGCCACAAATACTCCGAATCACAATACTAAGAAAAAGGCTAATTCTAATTCGAATCGTTCTAGGCGAAAAAATTCAATTAAATCTAAAATGTTAACTGAAAATGAGACATTAACTCAGCAAGAGTTAAATGCTCAATTTGCTAGACTGAGGGAGGAGCGAGAACAGATGGAGCGGAGAGACAGAGAACTCGAGGAGATGAGGAGGGAACTCATGCAGTTGCGTGAAGAATTGAACACCTAACGTGTTGAACAACAACAGGCCCAGCAGGAGTGGGAGAGACAGCGTATCGAGCAACAAAATGCCATGCGTCCTCAACAACAAAATATCAACGGACTTGGTGCTGGACCTCATCAGCACCAAGGCCAACCACCAAATGCCCACGGACCGGGTATTCACGCCAACGCGGCTGATGCCAGGCTTCAGCACCAACAACCGAACAACAATCTCAACGGCAACGGTCCCTTTTTCAACGTTCCCCCACCGCGGCCTATACCACGTCAGTATCAACGAGCTCCTATCAACGACCAACTTGTCGACGGTCTGCTAACACATTTCCAGTATTCTCATATTCGAGTCAATCCACCTAAATTCAAAGACAATGTAAATCCATTAGATTTTTGGAGGATTTGGATAGATTTTTTGGAGGATTTGGATAGATTTTTTAAATTCAAGAATATACCAGTAGTAGGGAGGCTTGTAGTTTATGATCAAATATTCGAGGGAAAGGCGGAGAAGTGGTACCGCACAGCGAGAAATAGTTTCTTGGATTATGATCACTTTAAGCAGGTTTTTCTAAAAGAGTTCTATTCGACTCCACTTAAAATGCAATTTAAAAATAGATGGGCTACTCGCAGGTACAGAACCAAGGATGGGTCGTTGCATTCTTATTTCAATCAACAGTAGTAGTGTAGTAATGCCGGTTCTGGCACAACGTGTTTGGCGTCGACCTGGTCGTTGGGGCCCAGTACGGGGGTCAGATGAAAGTGGGTGGGTGGGTGGTTGATTAATTCGCGGGGTCGCGGTTCAATTCGCGGTTTGATTCGCGGTTTGATTGATTAATTCGCGATTTTTCCCGCGAAGTGACGAAAGGGTTAATTAATTCGCGGTTTGATTCGCGGAGTCGCGGTTTAATTCGCGGTTTCTTCTATCGAAATGATGAGAGGATTAATTAATTCGCGGTTTGATTCGCGGTTTGATTAATTAATTCGCAATTCCTTCCCTCGAAGTGATGAAAGGGTTAATTAATTCGCGCGGTCGCGGTTTAATACGCGTGGTTGCAGTTAAATTCGCGGTTTAATTAATTAATTCGCGATTTTTTCCATCAAAGTGGTGAAAGGGTTATTTAATTCGCTGGTTAATCAATTTAATTCGCGGTTTTGCGTTACAAAGGACCTTCTCGGTGAAACTAGTCAATCCACCCCGCGAGGGGGTGAGTGAAGGGGTTAATTATTTCGCAACTGTAGAAGAGTGAGAAAGAGAGAGAGAGAGAGAGAGAGAGAGAGAGAGAGAGAGAGAGAGAGAGAGAGAGAGAGAGAGAGAGAGAGAG